TGAAGGGGCCTTAATAGTAACATGATGCAGAGTGATCTCCTGGCACAAAAATGGGCTCTTTGTCCCTATCTTGAGGAAACCAAGTTTATTGCTTGAATGATTGATGGGATATGAATTAAGCAGGATTAAAAACCCACCCATCTCATAGGCAATTACTGGGATAGGAGTTAGGGGGGTGGAAGTTCTAGTTGTAGCTGTGTCAGCCCCTTCCTTATGTAAGAGCTACCACCATGATCCTAGGCTCTTCAGCTGTCTGATTCCCCAACCCATTCCGACCAGAACCTTGAGGCAGAATTGATTAGTCTCCATTCCTCCCTATCCCACTCAAGTTATTCCCGACCATAACCCTGAGCTGGCTGGGCAGCCCTGACTTTTACATGCAAGTAAAATGAAGATGTGTCCTCAAAATCAGATGTTAAAAAGAAAGGATGCTGTATAACTGAATTACTTTCGTTTTGTAGACACAATCTCTGACCCTCCCAGCTTTCTGTATCCTTGAACTTCATCCTCCCACCCTCATAATTGAACACACACAGCCCTGGCTTACTTCGGAAGAGCATCCTTGTTTGGCCTTAAGAAGCTGCCACTATGACCAGCATCTTGCTATCTGTGCCAGCATTTTCGTTCCCCCACTCCATTTAATTTCAAAAAATAATAATTATGGCCAGGCACAGTGGCTCTCGCCTGTAATACTAGCACTCTGGGAGGTGGGGGGGGGGTGGATCACTCAAGGTCAGGAGTTCAAGACCAGCCTGAGGAAGAGCGAGACCCCATCTCTACTAAAAATAGAAATTAATTGGCCAACTAAAAATATATAGTAAAAATTAGCCGGGAATGGTTCCGCATGCCTGTAGTTCCAGCTACTTGGGAGGCTGAGGCAGAAGGATCCCTTGAGCCCAGGAGTTTGAGGTTGCTGTGAGCTAGGCACTCTAGCCAGGGCAACAGAGCAAGACTCTGTCTCAAAATAATAATTATTATTATTATTATGAAAAGTACAACAGAATTATGTTTGTAAACTTTAAACAAAAGTTGGTCTCACAGCAGAACCTTTTTTCCAAATGAACTCCTACATGGAACCTCAGTAAAGGGGCCAATAAGAGGAGAACAACTCAGGCTGAAGGGCTTTGGGGGATGTGGCCACATGAAAAGTAGCCACGAGGGTCAGCCTATAACTCATGAAGAAACGGCCTGTCAGCAGTGGGGAGAATAAACAAGGAAGGACACCTGCAGTAGGGTGCTGGGGGTCATTTTGATTTCTTCTCCACCCCATCCCTCTTCCCTCTCTATGATACTCCCCACCCCCATCACCCTGTTAATGGACTTCAGTCCTCATATTCCAGACCCGCCGACCTTAGCCCTTGCTCCTCAGTCATCTTCCAGGGCTGCCTGAGATCGCAGTTCCTTCTAGGACAGGTGGCTGGGCCTTCGCCTCAGTTGCTCGACTCTCTGGAGCTGATGTCCTACCTCTTGACACGATTCTATAGCGCATATATCACGGCAGGGCTTACAGGCAACATTCCATAATGTTAGACGCTATTTTTTTCTTATTTTTAATTTTTAAAATCCCTGTCTTGTGCTTTATTTTGCATGACCCTACAATTAGTGAAAAACATATTTTATTAATAACCTCTTGGGATCAGGGGGTCAGCTTTACTCAGATGGAAATGACATAATAACGTCATAGTGAAATATAAGCTCATCAAAGGCAGTTAAACTCTTTCTTTATTTTTTGTTTTATTTCAGCATATTACAGGGGTACAAATGTTTAGATTACATATATTGCCTTTGCTCCACCCAAGTCAGAGCTTCAAGCGTGTCCATCCCCCAGACAGTATGCACTACACCCATTAGCTGTGAATATACCCAGTTAAACTCTGTTAGAGGCCTCATGAGTGATTTATTGATTTCATTTTATAACAAACAAACAAATCCTATCTGTCAGGTTACACTAGTTCCTCAGTATTTCATTTCCAGATCCAGATATCAGAGGAAACCCACTGGTAAATAGAAAGGGAATAAGACTTGAAAACACACACACACAAATACTTAAGAAGAAGCCACTCAGAACTGCTATTATAATGGATGAACAAGATAGTCAAGTGCTGTCAAAGATGGCCATTTTTGTTTCATTTTGAATTTTGGTAAATAGAGTGTTTTTCAAAAGTAAATCTTCATTTGACTGCACATAGGATCAGCTGTGCCCCACCCCCCAACTCCAGTGCCCGTGACGTGCGCTCTCCGGGAAAAGACTTCAGGACTCATGGGAGGGTTTGCTTGGCAGTCACTCCAATGTAAAGGGTCACACGATCCTTCCAGGCTCTGATGCAAGCTTGAGGGCCTTTCAATAGGAAAATGCACACATCAACAACATTTTGTGTATCAGTTCTAGGATGTTCATACATCACCCAAAGCCATGGACCCAGATTTTAAAAAAAAAAACAACCTTGCTGTAAAATCTTTCCGGCACTGACATGGGAAGATCATACAGGCCCAACTCGAGATGACGTTGGTCTGTGAAAGAGCGTGAATCCGACAGCCTACCCTCATAAATCATAGAGTAGGAACAGGTGACAAGCAGACACTTGTACCCACGTGACCTCACTTTTCCCAGCACGCCCTGAGCACAGGACACATGGTAGGTGCGGTTTGCAGCCCTGGTGCTGAGCTGTTAAGGAAGGAGCAGGAGGAAGTGGAGGCAGCCAGGGCTGCGCTGATCTGATAAAGGATTAGGTTACGGCGCCCTCCTGCCATCCCTCATGCCCTCTGACTGAGCAGCTGCACAAGCTTGCTCTTTCTCAGCTGGAAATGTCTCTCTGTGCAGGCGATCGCTGCCTGCATGCCAGCACCCCTGAGCCGCCTGCCTTTCCCTGAACACACGGTGTTCCTTCACACTGTCACCCACGCTGTGCCCTCGGTGGGGACTGCCCGCCTGGGCGCGTACCTACGTGCTCTGCATGACGTTCAGGTTTCAACTCCTCGAAGCTGCCCATCTAATTCTGGGGGTGGGTTTAGCTGCTCCTCCTGTGCTCGCCTGGCACCCCGCCCACCCCTCTTACTGTGCTCACCACACTGCTCCACAAGTGTTTGTTCTCGAATCCTCCTCTCCACCAGGAGGACCAGGGCTTGCTCCCTGTACAGTGTCTGGCACAGGGCGGTCACTTTGTGAATGCCCGTGAGATGCTCACGACTGCGTGATGTACGGTCAACCCACTGAAAGAAAGTGGCTGATACGATTGGGACACAGACACTCTGGGGAGGCACCAAGATTGATGAGAGCTTCTTTCCTAAAACCTAAGACTGGTCACAAGGGTGCAGGAGCAGCCTGAGGTAGTGGAGCAGCCTGCAGTGACAGGAGCAGCCCAGAGCCGGGCACAGACACTGCTCCGGGCAGGCCGGAACGCCCTCAGCATGGAGCTCGAACAATGAAAACAACTTCGTAGCAAAACACCTGAATGGCAGTTTTAGGATTACAAAAATATTGAGGGTAAAGTCCAGAGAGTTACCATATATGTCCTGTTTTCTGTACCAAAGTTTCGCCTACTATTAATATCTTACATTGGTGTGGTACATTCGTTATACTTGATGAACCAATATCGATACCTTATTACTAATGTAATGGTAGTTCACATTTGGGTTCACTCTGCTCTTTGTGTTGTATATTCTACAGATTGTGACAAATGCATAATGACATGTATCTACCATTACAGGATCCTATAGAATATTTTCACTGCCTTAAAAATCCTGTGCTCTGCCTGTTCATTCCTCTCCCCACCTCCCACTTCCCCCTCACCCCTGGCAACCACTGATCTTTTTATTGTTGCTATAGTTTTGTCTTTTCCAGAATGTATTAATAATATAGTTGGAACCTTATAGTATGCAGCCTTTTTAGACTGGCTTCTTTTGCTTAGCAATGGGCATTCCTTCGTGTAACTCTCCTAATTTTCAGCTGCTGAGAACTCATCAAAATTGTCACAAAACACCAAGAAGCAGAACTTCACCCTACACCAGTCTCTGAGTTGGATGAGGAGTTACCCTTATTTTTACAACCAGTATCGGGAGCAGGGGGTGGGGGCGAGGGAGAGAATCGCAGAAGTAGGGTCCAACGTGAGGGGCCAAGTGGCTCCAAAGGGGGCCTGGTTTCCGGTTTCCCCTCTGGACTGGCCCCTTGTGACAAGCCCCTTGGCTGTCAGCGTGCTGCCTTCTGGCCTTCCGCTGGCTGTGGAGCCTGCATCACCCGGCATCGTGCCTGTCCTCACACTGCCTCTCCTCTCAGCACCCCCACGCGTGCTTCAGAGAGGAAAGCCTGCAGGGTGGCCTGTGTCCCGGCTGGGCCTGTGGCCAGTGCTAGCCCAGAAGCAGCCCGCACGGCCAACGAAGGTTTAGCAGCCCTGACTGCCGGCAGCAGAAGCCAGTGCTAACTGGATAATATTTCTTAGTGTGAGGCTCACAGTTTATTTTTATACACATGCAATGCTCATATAAGAAATGCCATGTTTGCATTTCAAGTCTGTGGAGGCAGCTTCAGAGCCTGGAGTCAGAATCAGATGGACCTGGGCTCAAACGAAGCTGCTGCGGTGTTGCTGAGCAGTGTGTGAGCCAGGCTAAGTTTGTACCTTCTCTGGGCCCCAATTTTCTCATCTACAAAAATGAGCGTAGTAATTCTGAGAGTTACTATGAGGACTGACAGTTATAAGCTCCTTGCGTACTGGAAATGCTCACTACATATGAATTCCTTTTCCTCACTGGGAGCTGGAGGCCTGAGTTTCAGTCCCAGGTCTGTTGTCATCTAGCTATGTGATCTGAATCATAGACTCACAGGCCAATAGCTGCCCTGCCCCTATTTATTTATTAATTATTTTTTTAGAGATGGGGTCTCACTCTGTCACCCAGGCTGGAGTGCAGTGGTGAGATCATAGCTCACCATAGCTTCAAACTCCTGCCTCCGCCTGCCATGTAGCTGGGACTATACCACCATGTGTGTAATTTTTCTTATTTTTTGTTGAGATGGGGTCTCACTTTGTTGCCCAGCCTGGTCCTGAAACTCTGGCCTCTAGTGGTCCTCCCGTCTTGGCCTCTCTAAATGTTGAGATTATAAGCATGGGCCTCCAAGCCCTGCCTATTTTTAAACTTTTTATTGGAACCCTATTTTTTTGAAAAAAAAAAAATTGAAAACCTTTTTATATACACATATTGTAGCCATGCACCTTAACGAATTTTCAGAAACTGAACACACTGTGTACTCCATCTGTTTTTGTAAATTAAGTTGTTTTTGAAACACAGCCATGCCGTTTATTTCTGTGTATGTCTATGTCTGTGGCTGCTTCCGCACTACAATGACAGAATTGAGTAGCTGAGATGGAGACCATATGGTCTGCAAGGCTGAAAATACTCTCTGGCCCTTTGCAGAAAAAGTCTCCTGACTCCTTCTGTATAGTATTCCACGGTGTGAATATACTAACATGTATTTATTTATTCATCCTACTATTGGCAAGCAGTTGGGTAGTTTCCAATGTGAGGCCATTATGCATAACTTGCTATGAAGATCTCGTATATGTCTTTGGTGAAACATGTATATGCATTTCTGTTGAGTTTATTTCTAGAAGTGGAATTGTTAGAACATAGGGAAGATGTAAGTTTAAACTCATTAAAAACTGCCAGTTTTCCAAAGTGGTGTGCCATTACCTCTCCCACAAGCAGTGTCTGAGAGTTCCATTTGTTCCATATCCTTTCAGCGTTTGGTATTTTCTGTATTTATCATTTTTGCCATTTTCCCAGCCCCCATTTTGACGTTTCTGAGTTATTTCTGTTTGTCCTGGAAACCTGCAGGGATAAAGCACTCACTGCGTCAAGGGGCAACTGGTCCATCTTTGCACAATTCTCATTTCCTAGGAAGCTCTTCTTCATATAGCAGCTTTTCAGATATTTAAAAATCAATGCTCATATTCCACTGAATGCTATCTTCTGCAGGAATAGAAACCAAATTATTTCCAGCGTCTTTAAAAAGTTGTTCGAAAGACCTGAGTTTGCGGGCCGTCATCATCCCGGGTGCCTGAGGAACGCGTTCAGCTTCTCTGGGCTTCAGGTGCCTCATCGGTAAAATGAGGGGTTCAGCGAAAAGATCTTTAAGTCATTTTAGCTCTAATGCTCTGTGTAAAAATGTACCATGGGGACTCTTGAAGAGATGTCCACGTACATCCCTAAACACGGAACCCCCCTCCCCAAAATGTTCCTGTTAACCTCCACTAGCCACCTGCTGTCCACGGAGAATGGAGACATTTGTTTATTCATTTTCTCCTTCTTCTAGCAAACTGTTCCTGATCGCCAAGCAGATTCCAGCTTCTGCTCTCAGAGTTCAGGATGGTAAGATATCGGTCTCTCTTGCCACAAAGGCAGCTCCAGCGGGTGACGGAGGGGAGAGGATTTTGTGCCTGGGGGACCCTGTAGAAGTCATGGGAGGTTGTAACTGTGTCAATTGCATCTTAAAAAGTCAAGAGTCCATGGGAAATGTCGAGGCTGATGAATGTCACTGGCGGCTGCAGGGTGACTGGCTAGCTGGGGGAAGGGAAGAGAGGGATTTGCCTTTGTCTTGTTTCTGGGGGAGTTTGGCCCCGGGGCATTGCTTTCTCTGGAGATGGGGAAAGTGCAGCCTTCACTCTCAGCATTCTCAGGACTTACTTCCTTTGTAGTAAATAATTCCCAGGCCAGACGGCTCTTTCTGCTTTCTCCCTGACACAAGTGTGCGTAGCGTGTGAGGACCAAAGGACAGGTCATCAAATCCAGATGGCAGGCCCCTGTAATACTTACATTTTGCAGAGACCAGACTAATTTAACTGACCCAAACACTGCCAAATTCTAAGGCAAAGTGGTGAAAATGAAAATACTGATTAGGTTTTCAAGATGTCATACTCCACAGAGTCTAATAGGAACACAGCTTTGAATATTTTAAAAGAAAAATCCAGCTATCTTGTATTCATTCATGTAAGCCTCACAACCAGCCCGTGCAGTGGACATTATAATCCTTGTTTTGCAAATGAGGAAACTGAGACACAGAAAGTTTTAGAACATGCCCAGGCCATCAGCTCGTGAGGGTGGAGCCAGGGTTACAAAGGCAGGCAGGTGGTGACCACAGTGCTTCTGCAGGTGTTGCAGGGAGCTCCATGCTGGGAAGGAAACTGTGACTGGCAGGTGGGAGTCAGAGCCTGGCGCCCTGGCCAACTCTGGCATTGGAATGATGAACTGGATGAAATCCTGGGGAGCTACCTAATCTAACCCTCCCCTGATTTTCCAGGGCGGCCTGAGAATGAGTGTCCCTGGGTCACAGAGCTTACTAAAGTCAATAATAGTGATGTAAAAAAATTATCCCACAAGGACAGGGAAGTTCCCTGAAAGCAGGATGCTGTCACCAGGAGAAGGAAGGGATGCCAGGGAAGCCAGGAGCATGGATAATCATCATAGAGCGAGGATAACTTGCCCAAGGTCACAGAGCCAACAAATGGCTGAGTCAAATTTGAATTCACATTTGGAGGAGGAGATATGGGGATGGTTCCCTGGCTATCTGGTCCTCATAGCAAACCTTTGTGTGTCAATTGTAGAAAATGACTAGATTCTTAAATTTGGAAGGGAGAGTTTCATTTCCCATAAAGGGTTGCAGCCTATGGGGTGGCCTTTCTGGCAGGCTGGGCAGCACAGCCTGGGGCAGAAGCTGAGAGCATGTACTTCCAGAGAGGGACAACGGGAACAGAAATTTATGCTGAGCGGGGCAGCCAGATGTACCTACTTAACAAGCTATAAGAGGCATCGTGAATATTTAGGAGAGGAGAACCTTGTGCCTGGGCAATGGAGCTTTATGCCTCTTTGTAGGTTGCATGTACAAAAAGTGGTGGTGTAGCAAGATCTGAAGGTGGAGATTTTGGCCTTCTGAAGTCAAAAGGTGAAGCAGGGGACAAGAAAACCCTCATTGCACGTACTTCACAGTCCGGTTGGAACCACTCCATGATTGGTGGCTTCTTATCAGGAAAGAATGCTGCTGGTCAGTTGTGCCGAAATTGCAAAAAGAGAGGCACAGCATTAGGCGGTTGATTGAAATCAGCAGTGGAGTGAGTCTTTCCAAAGGGCTGGTTCTGTTCAGCCCTTAGAGAAGAGAACCTAATGGTGGTTAACGAGGCGTGTATGACCTCCCATCCCGCAATGGCTGGGAACTCAGTTTTAATGGTTCAATGGGGTCCCCTTGGCCAAGAGGGGTTCCATTCAGTTGGTGGGGGACTTAGGATTTTATTTTTGTTCACAGGTGAGAGAGTCTCCCCTCTTCAGCCATGCACGGAGTCGGGCAGCTGTTGAGAAAGCAAATGATGGCACATACAGTACATTGCATGAAGGGCCCCAAGTCTGCCTCCTACTTTATAGATACACCTGTTGTCATGCGACTTTTTACCTTCTTCCACCAAAATGCAGAGTATATTTTCCTGCCCTGGATTTGGAGCTTGGCCAAGTACCTTGCTTTGGCCAATAGGATGTTAGGAGAGGTTTGAAAAGGCACTGGACATTGCTGCTTGTCCTCTTTTGCTTCTGCCGTCACCATGCAAAGGACCTGCCTAGGCTAACTTGCCGTCCTGGGAGAAGGTGGAAAATGCATGAAGCAGGACTGCCCCAGCCAATGTGCCCCTCAGCCCGCATGTGTGTGAGCATGCCTGGCTGTGCCCAACCCAGACCAGCCCACTCAGCTGGACCCCAGGCATGGGAGCTGAGATAATGAGTGGCCGTTGTTTTAAGACACTGAGTGTTGGGAGGTTTGCATGCAGCAAAAGCTAACTAAAATTGTTCTTTTGCACCTTTTCTTCAAAGTTAAAAAATAAATATAGGTCAAGTTAAATAGTGTTACTATCTTGACCACTTTGGTTGGTAAAAATAAGTTGTCCACCTACTACATTGTGAGCTGATCCACACAAATTCTTCACCAACACTGTAAATGTATACTGCATGTTTATGCAAACAAGTTTTGAAACATGGAAAAATTTTCCTTTACTTTTTCTAATTTTTCAAATGCTTTACATTTCAGTTAAGCGCATATCCTGGGTTTGCTGTGATAGAAAGATTGTAGGAGGTCAGTTCATCTCCTGCATTTGTGTTTCGACATGTCTGTAAATTATAGACCATCATTCTTTACAAAAGTATTAGTCTGAGATGGAACTATTAATTGGAATAGATATGTTTTCGTTTCTTATGGTACAATTCTCCTAAAAAGAATATGTAAGGATTGTTTTAAACTTTTGAATATGACAATTAGTCTAGGGTGTACCACCACAAATTCAAAATTGAAAGTAACAAGTCATATATTTTATTTCACCTTAAAAAAAATCCAGAACAAGTAATGGAAAAAAATGGAATTAATTCCTGAAAACGTCACAAATTCAATAAAAGAGAGGTGTGTTATATTATGTATAATTTAATTATTTGTTTGTTTGAAGCAGAAGGAATCTGCAGAAATTTTACTTTAAAACATTTTAGCATAAACACTGTCTGATATGTGTATGTGCAGATCGATTTTAATATTAACTCTATAATTTTAACATTTAAAAGCCTTGCTCAGGAACACAAACTTCAGGAGTGCTGCTCTGAACTATCAAACCCTTTTATTAGATCACTGGCTAAGTTTTCACTGGTAGAAGGCGTGTTTCAGAATGTGGGCTTGGGATGCCTCCTGTGCAGGTGCACCTGCTCTGGCCTGGATGGGGTAGAGGAGCCCGCTGAGCCCAGTATCGTCACATGCTCCAGAGTGGTGCCCTGGACTTGGGCAGGGAATTTTGCTGCCAGTCCAACTAGAAGATTAGCTAAACCCTGCTGCTAGATTATTGGTGCATCTGCTTCACATAAACCTTTTGTTATTTATTAGCTAGTCTAAGGGGCACAAAACACGATGTTGCAGACTTTTAGGAGGAGTTTGCATGCCTGTACTGGGATCACAAACATTTTTTTAATAGAATTACACCACTAATAGTATATATAGGTAGGTGAGGTACATTTCAGGTGCTCCCCTGTTCATTACGAACAACTGTCCCTGGTACAACATGTCTACTCAGTACCAGGGAGCAGGAGAACCCAAAAGTGCCCTGTTTGGTTAGCCCATAGTTAGTGCGAAAATAACAAAAAAATGTACTTTTGATAATGATTCTTGTCATTATGATAAGTAGATTGGGGATTGGCAAACTATGGACTGGGGGCCAAATGCCACTTGCTGCCTACTTTTATAAATAAAGTTTTATTGGAACATAGCCACACTCATTCATTTACATATGGCTGCTTTCACAGGGGCAAAGTGGAGTAATTTTGGCAGACACCCATGGCCTATAAAATGAAAAATATTGACTGTCTGGTCCTTTACAGGAAAAGACTGCCCACCCCTGACACAGTGTCTAGTCATGTGGCTTTTCAAACAACAACAACAATAAACCCCATTCATTTGAAATCATAAAAGTGGCTTGACTTGTGTTTTTATAACTTAGAAAATAAGTGGCACTTTAAAAAGTATTTTTATTTGGTTTTGTATCTTCAGAGTCTGCAAAGTTCCCAAGAGAGAACACTTTAATGAGAGGAGGGGAGGAAGGGTGTTCCAATGATTGGAGAGAGAGACAGGCAGAGGGGGGAGTCAGGGAACAAAGTAGCAATGGGGCCCTTTCCTCTGCCTCAGAAAGAACCTGCCCCATGGCTGGTCTGCTTCTCAAACACAGAAGCTTTCTTCTGACCTCAGGACCTTTGCACTAGCCATTTCCTTTGCCTGGGTCACTTTTCCCTTAGGTATCCACCAGACTGGCTCCTTCTCATCACTCAGGTTTCAGCTCAAATGTCACCTCCTTGGACAGACCTTTCCTGATCACCCACTCCAAAGACTCATTCTCCTCTCCCCATACACCAGGGGTCCCCAACCTATAGTGAGTTGGATAATTATTTCATTATATATTATAATGGTAATAATAATAAAAATAAAGTATACAATAAATGTAAAGCCCTTGAATCATCCCCAAATCATCTCCCTCCCACCCCTGGTCCGTGGAAAAATTGTCTTCCATGAAAATTGTCCCTGGTGCCAAAAAGGTTGGGGACCACTGCTCTAGATGACATCACCACTTGGTTTTTTTTCCCCTTTATGTCACTCATGCTAGCTCAGTATCAGTCATCCCAGACCCTGAGAATGACTCTTGTCTGTCTCATTCATCACTGTACCCCCAGTGCCTAGCAGTGCCTGGCCCACCAAGGGTCCCAAAGGAAAAGAAGGGATAAATGAAGTAAGTTTATGGAATGAGTTAAATCCACTAATTCATTCATTCATTCTATCACTGGATTACATAATAGAATGGATTAATGAACAATCAACGGCCTCACTATAATTACCAAGTCCTGGGTCTCTGTTTCTCTCCCCACCTGGCCTGGCCTCTCAGTGAACTGAAGGCAGCAAGCAGCTTTCCTGTTTGTACAGAGAACAGGGACAATAACTTAGCTTATGGAAAAGGGCTCCAGCTCATCCATACTGTTTCCTTTAACTCTTATCTAGCCTTTTATTTATTCAATATTTATGGAATGCCCAATCTTTGCCAGTACTTGAACTTGTACACTGAGGCAACTTACAGTTCTGGGGGAGAAGATCATTAAACAAGCCATAACAATGTGTAGGACCGGACAGTACTACCCGCCCAGGAAACAGGCAGGAAGGATGCTAGCCTCAACCTGCCAGGTTGGGGAAGCCTTGTTTGAGTCAGTTACTTCCAACCAGAGGCCTGGAGGGGGACCTGCAGGAGCAGATGGGGACTGTTTTTTCAAGCCACAGAGCAGGGTGGTACTTTGAAGAACTTGCAGAGGTGCAGCTGGAGCAGAACTTGAGGTGGAGGGCACTAAGTGGAGAGGCGAGCAGGGTCACAAAGGACCTCCATGGGCACGAAGACAGGCTTGGACTTCACTCAGTGAGCAAAGGGAGAAGGCTTTACCTGAGAGTGTGGGTGACCCCCTCAGAGGCCCTGGTGATTCTGACTCTGCAAGGAGTAGAAGGGCAGGCTCCTCCTGGTGAGGGCTTCCAGCCTGTGCAGAGTAACTGACCATAACTGGTAGTAATAACACACTGGGAGTGGGGGTCAGAGACTAAGCAGGTTCTGGGGACATGAGACTTTCAATGCTAAAACTAGGAAAGTCTCAGACCAGCAGCCAAGACTTCTTGGTCACCCTAGCAGCATGGCTGCCGTTCAACACATACACATGGGTATGGTCACGGTGGTTATTCCAATAATGAAATATTTCCATATTTAGTGGCTTAATAAATAGCAGCTTCTATGTGCCCCTGTGCCAACACAGCCCAGTGGCCCAAACCTCACAGGACCTCCTTTCTCTGATCCTAAAATTTAAGGAGTAACCCCTGGCACACTAGGGGCACTCTTCCTTGGTATGCCTACTATACTTAGTGACAAATGCCACCTTGGCTACCCTTGTTTTGTCATCCTTCCTTCTGCTATGCCTTGACTGGCTTGGAGCTCTCTGCATCTCTCTGCCTCTCAAGATGCCCACCCAAGAATTTGGAGGGCAGCTGTCATCAACCCCTGGCTACAGGACAGGGGTGTGGTAGCCAAAGATGGTGAACTAAAGCACGGTCCTGGAGTTTTTTCACATGTCTTCCCTCTGGAGCTCTTGTACAGATGGTGCTGGAGCCTATCTGTGGAAAGTGGTGTAAGATCCTGTACCAAGAGATGCCCACCAAATGCTACCCTCGACTCCTAAGAATGGAAATGAACACAGTCACCTTGTAAAAGCAGCACCATAGGTTTTTACCCACTTGGATAGCTTGATGGAGCGTGATGAAAAAACTAACGTCACCTATTTTATGTAAGACTCTGTTCTTACACAATTGGCAATAGTTGAGATTTCCATGACCACTTGTTTTTCAAGGTTACCAGCTTTCTTTCAGCTGTATGGCATTTCTCTCTGAGCCAGTTACTGCAGCGATTTCCTAATTGTGCTTCTGACAAGGGGTTTTGGTTGTCCACCCTCTGTTATAGGTTGAAATCTGCGTTTGTAGAGCTGTTCCTTGTGCATGAGGTTAGCGAGGTGACTGATCCCAGAGGCCCAGACCCCATGGCCCACAGCCCTTCCCAGTACAGCGAAGGGGCCATCAGGGATGTCTTCATGTTGGGTTCAGCCAAGGGGAGACTGGCAGGAGACAGGAGGGCGAGAGCAGAGTAAGGTCTGGGCATTTATTCCTCAGTTTCCTTCTCTAGGTCATAGAGAGTAGTGGTACATCCCGCTGAAGGCGGACTTTTCTAAATAGATGCTCTCCTGGTTCTAGGTTCCGGTCTGCATTCCCTCATCTGCCTCTGCAAGCCTGGGATTAGGGGTGCAGGATGCTGAAGTGCTACACTATCTCTTTTTGACTTCCCTAAACCCTGCCCACACCTTTGTAAAGAGCCCCTTTATTTTTATTTTATTTTATTTTTATTTTAGGATTTTATGGGGGTACACATGTTTTGGTTACATAATTTGCTTTTGTACAGTTTGAATCAAACTTATAAGTGTACCCTTTACCCAGGTAGTGTGCATTGTACCTGATAGGTGTGAATTTACCCATTCCCACCTCTTCTTTCCCACCTACTTGATTTCCCTTGAGTTTTACTTCTGTTTATGTGCACGTCAGTATTGATTGATTAGTTCTAATTTAGTATTGAGTGCATGTGGTGTTTGTTTTCCCATTCTTGCAATACATCATTAAGAAGAATGACCTCCAGTTCCATCCAGGTTGTTACAAAAGATACTAGATCACCATTTCTTATGGCTGAGTAGTACTCCATGGTATACATATATATACTACATTATATTAATCCACTCATGTATTGATGGGCATTTGGGTTGATTCCACATCTTTGCAATTATGAATTGTGCTGCTGCTACAAACATATGAGTGCAAGTTTCTTTTTTTAAAGTGTCTTTTTTTTCCTTTGGGAAATACCTAATAATGGGATTCATGGATCAAATGGTAGGTCTACTTTTAGTTCTTTGAGGTATCGCCATACTATTTTCCATAGAGGTTGTATTAGTTTGCAGTCCCACCAATAGTGTATAAGCATACCTTTCTCTCTGCATCTTCACTAGCATCTGTTATTCTAGGACTTTCTTATAAAAGCCATTCTCACTGAAGTTAGGTGATATCTTATTGTGGTTTTGATTTGCATTTCCTTAATGATTAGAGATGTTGATTCATGTGTTTGTTTGTCATTAGTCTATCTTTTTTGAAAAGTTTCTTTTCATGTTTTTTGCCCACTTTTTAACAGGGTTGTTTGATTTTTTTTTTCTTGCTGATTTGCTTGAGTTCTTTGTAGAGTCTATATATATCGGATATATAGCATGCAAGTATTTTCTCCCATTCTGTAGGTTGTCTATTTGCTCTATTGGCTGTGTAGAAGTTTTTAAATTTAATCAGGTCCCATTTATTTATTTTTGTTGTTGCTGTGGTTGCTTTTGGGGTCTTCTTCATAAATTCTTTGCCTAGGCCAATATCTATAAGAGTTTTTCCAAAATTTTCTTCTAGAATTCTTATAGTTTCATGCCTTAGTTTTAAGTCTGTTATCCATCATGAATTAACTTTTGTGAGATATAAGATGTGCTGATCCTGTTCCTGCCTTATACATGTGGCTATCCAATTTTCCCAGCACCATATATTGAATAGGAATTCTTTACCCCAGATTATGTTTTTGTCTGCTTTGTCAAAGATCAGATGGTAATATGAAGATGGATTCATATCTATGTTCTCTGTTTTGATCCATAGATCTAGATCTCTGTTCTTGTGTCAGTAATATGCTGTTTTGGTTACTATAGCCTTGTAGTAAAGCTTGAAGTCTGGTAAAGCGATGTCTCCTAATATGTTCGTATTACATAAAATTGCATTAGCTATTCAGAGCCTTTTGAACCTTTCAACAAAAAAAGTCCTGGACCAGATGGTTTCACACCCAAATTTTACCAAACCTACAAAGAAGAACTGATACCTATACTGCAGAAATTATTCCACAGCATTGAGAAGGAACGAATCCTCCCCAACTCATTTTATGAAGCCAGTATCACCTTGATACCAAAACCAGGAAAGGACACAACACAAAAAGAAAACTACACACCAATATCCCTTATGAATATAGACACAAAAATTCTCAATAAAATCTTAGCAAACAGAATTCAACTGCAAGTGTTACAGCTCTTTTAGAATTTGTCTAGCAGGTCTTCTGGTCCTTACCGGAAGGGCCCCCCCCCCCGAAAACAAATAAATAAAAAATGAAAAAAAGAATTCAACTGCACATTCACCATGACAAAGTGGACTTCATTCCAGAGATGCAAGGATGGTTTAACATATGCAAATCTATAAATGTAATTCACCACATAAATAGGAAAAACAAAGACCATATGATCCTCTCAATAGATGCAGAAAAAGCATTTGATAAAATTCAGCAATCTTTTATGATAAGAACTCTTAACAAAATAGGCATAGTTTGGACATACCTCAAAATTGTTAAAGCCATACAGAATAAACCCACAGCCAACATCATACTGAATGGGAAAAATTGAAAGCATTCCTGATTAGAACTGGAACCAGACAAGATTGCCCACTATTACCACTTCTATTCAACATAGTGCTGGAAATCCTAGCCAGAGCAATCAGACAAAAGAAAGAAATTAAGGGTATCCAAACAGGGAAAGAAGTCAAACTTAGCTAATGATATGATCTTATATCTAGAAACCCCAGAAATTCAACCAAGAGACTCCTGGAATTGATACATGAAATCAGCAAAGTCTCAGGCTACAAAATCAATGCACACAAATCAGTAGCTTTCATATACACTAATACCAAACAGAAATTAAAATAAAAAATGCAATACCTTTCACAATTGCAACAAAGAAAATAAAATATTTAGAAATATATTTAACCAAGGAGATGAAAGACCTCTATAGGGAGAACTATGAAACACTGAGGAAAAAAATTGCAGAAATGATTTTCTCTATCATGAATTTCAAAACAGTGCTATTTACATGAGAGCTACAAACAAATGCTTATGTATTGTTTCTCTTCCTCAACCCCTCCCTCCACCTTGGACTCCCTTCATCCCTTCTCCCTTCAGCAACTACTGTTTGTCAGATCCCAGCTATGGACCTGATACTCTGCTGGGCTTTGTCAGCTCTCCTGTTTTGTCCTCCTTGTTGCTAGGATCTGAGGGACCGCCTCTCCTTTTTCATGGCCCAGGTAGTCCCATACTTGTAGTTGCTTTTAGGAAAACTTGTTACACTTAAAGATCTAGTCACCTTTGTTTCTTAAATTATTTGAACAGAAATGACACATCAAAACTTAAAACCTTAAAAATAAAATTTGTCTAGACATTTACATACTTAGTTAAATTATCCGGTTTCACTATGAGTCTAATGCAATTTCTAAATGCTTCAAACACCTTAAAAACCCAAAAGTTTTTACTGCATCTATGCCTAAGGCTACTTGTAAAAATCATTAAGTTGATCAATTTTTTGTTATCTTTACAAAACGTATTTTTGTACTTTTCCAGGATTGACTTTATCAGACAAGAAAGAGAAAGATTATCTCCTCTTCAGGTGCATTGAAGTAACAGCCTCTGGGCCACTGGACTGAGGGATTCTTGGTGGCAACAGGCATTTGCTGGTTGGGGCTCCCTCAGGCAAGGCTCAACTGTTATGTCAACAAGACCATAAGCAAGTTCTCGAAATCTTCACTCCCATGTACACTAAGTCTCGGGTACATGTTGTTCTGCCACTGTTTACAATGACCTTCATTATACTTCATTAGCATTTCATTATAATTAGCAAGGTCTATTCTCCTAGGACATTTGGCTAATCCATTAACTTGCAACATAAATTATTGAACCTTCTTTCTACATGGTTATTTATGAGACCAGTGGTCCTGCCCTGCCCTGGCTGGTTTTGGCACAGTGTCTTCTCTTTCTGGAAGTCTTTGCCTTACTCATAGTAAACTTATCTGCTTCTTGCAACTTACACGAATATACCACTTCATAAACAGACACAGAAAACGTCAAGTAAGAAAGAGAACCTCATATATACCAAACTTAATAAAATATCCTGTTTTACACTTTCTTTAAATTGTAACTAGCTTTGTAATTACAGTTATATATAGACATGTTAACTTTTTTTTAATCATTGAGGATTCATAGCTTTTCATAGAGTCAACTTGTAGATCAACAACTATAGATTTACAGTTGTTCTCTGTGATATGCAAATTGTCACAGCTGACTCCTTTGTCCTTTAAGCAGTAGCCCAGCACTTTTTGAAGCATCCTGGTTTTCTGGCAATAGCATGATGTTCCCAGCCATTCTGATGTTCCCAGCCATTCTGATGTTCCCTTAATCCCACACACGGAATCAGCTTCTTTGCAGGGGCTCTGGCCACTGTTAATGAAAAATACTACTGAGATTAATATTTGTGTGCTGAGGACCAGTGATGAGAAGGCACTCTATGACCATTAAAAGACAGGTGGGAAAGATATTGCTTCCTAAGGTCATAATTGTGTTCATAGTGAGATTGCTCATATAGTTCTAATATTACTATATCCTTTTATTCAATTTTTAAATGGAATTTTTTCTACAATGTGCCTATTTAGAGTTTTAACCCTTAACTGAAACTGTGAATATCCCTCTCTCTGATTTTATCATTGTTGTGTGCCTTAATGCTTATTATTTTAAGGTCACTTGTATGTATCCTTTTTAAAACCTGCTTTCAGGAAAGCATCTTACAAAATTAGATACCTAAATTATTGTTTTCATGTAAATGCAAATTTGTCAGAATTATAAAATTATTGACATGAATATATTCAGTTATGCAAATTGATTGCATTTCTTATATACCTAAATGCCATTTCATGTCGATAAATTTATTGACACAAATTCATTCACATGCTAGCCTTGAGAGCTGACTGTCAACAGTGGCCCAGCTGGGAGGCTGCTTTCCTCTAGGAGCCATCATTGAAGGATGATGCTATCACTTAACACAATTATGAGTGATTTACATTTAATTCCACAAATGCTTCTTTATTAATTGAAGGCATTTGGAAGTACTACTGGCAAATGGAAAGAATAAAGATGTTGCTGACTGAAAATGGGCAAACCACAGAAAAGCCAGCTGTGGACTCCTCTCTTTAGTTACAAACCTAGATTCCCCACAGAAAGGGACTATCTCTGAAAGTCATTTCCATCTGCCTATGGCCAGGACACTTTTCAGTAACAATAGGTGTTCCGGAACTCTTCTTTGAATGATAAATGGGAAAAGAATACCACGAGAATAATGAGGCCAGGTGTGGTGGCTCATGCCTGTAATCCTAGCACTCTGGGAGGCTGAGGTGGGAGGATTGCTCAAGGTCAGGAGTTCGAAACCAACCTGAGCAAGAGCAAGACCCCATCTCTACTAAAAATAGAAAGAAATTAATTGGCCAACTAAAAAATATAGAAAAAAATTTAAAAAAGAAAAAAAATATTTAAAAAAAGAATGGAGAAAATCATAGCTTTCCAAATAATTAACCCATGATCATCACCCCTAGTCCACAATTTCTCCTTTTGACTATAATATTCTGAAGTAATTGGGGTTTGAGATAAACTTTAAATTGTTTCATTTTCAAAATTCATTTTGGTCACAATGTCCAGGAGCAATTCATCTGCTAATCAATAAATGACATTTAAATGCTGCTGCAAGAAAGGCAACCCAGCACAAAACCGATACTGTCAGCAATCCAGAACAACTTCAATTTCCTGACAGAAATCGATTCACAGCAAAATAAAGATTGTTGTAAATATTTATAGTGCTACAAGGAAAAGCTCGTCAATGCAGCTTTTTTAACCGTTCATTTCCAAATAAAAGATGGGCCCCAATTAGCCATCTACCTCATGGGCAGGGGGCCGTGACTGTGCAGCCACAACTCTACAGTTGTCTTGGAATTGGCTCTTTGAAAGTGTGGTGGGTAGTCTGGTAGTCTGGGCACATCCCAGATGACCAAGTGGTAAAGTGGGAAGAGCACCCAGCATGAGGAGCTGAGTTCCACGCTTGGCTCTTCACTGCCTTGCTGTGTGATCTCAGAAAGCCATTTAGTCTCTCTGAACATTCCTTTGTCCCATCTGGAAGAGAATAATAATCGTATCTGTCCGATTTAATCTCCCAGGCTGTGAGGATGAAATGGAGGGGGCAGGGGAGGAGATATTGCTGTACATATATTTTATGGACTGGGCAAACTTGGGGCCTTATAAAAGGTTCCTTATTTCCCAAGAAAACGATTAAGGAGCATGCAGAAGGGCTCCTGAGAAATCAGATGAGTCATCCTAAAGCTCAATGCCCATGGGAGTTTTACAACTAAAAAATAAGTTACAATAGAAACAAATGTGTTCATTCAGTAATATTACTATGCAACAGGTGCTGGGAAAACAAAGATGAAAAAGACTTGTAAGGACTTTGTGCTCATGGTCTAGTGGGGGCTGTGCAAACAGAGAAATGGGCATGGAGCAAGGCAAGTGACACCCACAAATAAAGCATGAGTTTCAGGATTACCCAAGAATGTCCTCATGTTGAGCAGCAACGAGTGTGGTTATTCCAGGAAAAGACTTATAACAGGCAAACACTAGCATTTCAGGGGAACCATAAAAATAAATCTGTGTTTCCCAAACTTCGGCCACTTAAGGTCTGCTTTCACATTTTTTTTTTTTTTGGCCATATCGCTACCATTTTTTTTTTTTGACTCATTTAAAAAAATGTTAATAAACTGTATTTAAAAAGAAAACTTTATATTACTATCATAAATGAAAAAGTTATCATTTGTGGTAAATAGAAAGCAAGCTTTAAAAAAAGCAACACAAACTCTTTTATTTCATAAATAACCATCAGGCTCAGTTCTAGTTTCTGGGGCTAAAGGGGTGACTAAGACGGACACAGGTAAGCAGTTGAGATAAACCAACGTCAGATAGTAAAATATAAAGTAACTTAGCAGAGTTACTTTAAACGGGGTGGTGGTGGGGCTAGAAGATGCTATTCAAGCCAAGGACTAAAGTGAGAGCTGGCGATGACCACCTCAACGTCGCAAAACGAAAACAAGGTCATTAAATTTCAGCCAGATATGGTGGCCCGCAGGAGGCTGAGCCAGCAGCCGGGGAAGGAGCAACTGTCAGAGAGACGTGCTCCCACCCAACTGAGACTTTTGGCGAGAGGAAAAGAGAATAAACAGGCCCAAAGACAAGGAAGTCGCTTTACTACGTGTGAGTCTAGGTTGTTCAATGCTCGGTACCAACTAAAATCCAGCCAGGTACCCCAGCGGAAAGCATCCCACGCTTGGGGAAACACTGAAACCTCCGAGTGGGATGCAGGTTGTAGCCGCTACGAATGACAAACTAGTAAACTGAGACCGGGGAAAGTTAATTCGCTGCCCCAAATTGGTTAGTACAAAGCAGAACAGGGAGAAGAGCCCTGAACTCTCCGTGCATCTTCAGCCCGGTGGACCGACGTCCGGCGGGTCTAAGGGCGGAAGACCGACGCGGGCACAAGCGGGGAGGTCCCGAGGTCCGTATTCGCGGCCTCGCGGGAGCCCCTCCCCGGGCGTGGCCCAAAACGCGGAGCGGCGGAATCGGCGGAGCGGGATAAAAAGCACGGCCTCCGCGCGCGAGCATGCGCCTTAGGCCGCCCCCGCCGGGCCGCGCTCGGCGCTAGGGGAGGGTCACCCGAGGCGGGCGTGCGCTGCGCAGGCGTCTGCGCCCCGTGGGGAGGAGGGCGAAGACTCCATCCGCCATGTTGGATGCCGCAGATTCGCCATAACTTCGCCGGCTCTTTTCTTAAAAAAATAAAAATAAAAACCGAAGCATCAGCGGGACGCCCTGCCTTCTCGGTCGGCAAGGGAGGGGGCCCGGAAGAGCCCGAGGCTTTTTTTTCCTCCGCGGTGGGGGCGTTGCCATGGAGACGCGGGCGGCAGGTGAGCCGGGCTGGGGGTTGGGGTGAGGACGGGGTGGGGGAGGGGCGCGGCGCGCGGGAAGCCGTTTCGAGCGTCGAGTAGGGAAGCCGCGCGCAGGCCGGCGGCTGGCGGAGGGATCCGCGGCCTGGGGCGGAGAGCGAGCGTAGCCGCGTCCTGCGGCCACACGTTCGGTCGCTGGCGGTATCCTGCCGCCAAAAAAAAAAAGTGAGGAGAGAACTAGCAGGAAAGCAGGCGCGGGGCCGTTTCCAGGGCAACGGGTAGCGCCTGGGCGCGCGCCAGCGACGGAGCGCTGGCGGCCCAGTGGACGGGAGGTTCGAATCCCGGTGCTGCCAACTCTTTGGCTCGGTGGACCTTGGCTGGGCCTGCTCCTTGCCTGGCTTCAGGATCCACCTCTGTAAAATGGGTACCTCCTCCAGGCTGCTGTCTCTGGCTTTCCGCAGGGAAGCAGCTTCTCAGCTGGCTGGACCATTTACTAGAGTGACAAGACCTTCCAGTTTACACCCAGTGCAAGTCATTTAACTTTGAGCTTGGGGTCCCTCACCTGCAATTAACGCCAGCTTCCACACTCGGGCACTGACTTCGCACGTTTTGCTGCTCCGCATACCTACCTGACAGCTCTAATTGGTAGGTTATTTATTTATCAGGAACAAAAGTTCAAAGAGGTTAGTTACATACGGTTTAAAAATGGTAGAGCTGGGGCTTTAAATAACAGCTCCCTCCAACTCGGGATAAAATCCAAACTCCGTGCATTCCTGGCTTGTACCTCCTTCCTCTAGAGTAGGGCTTGGCTTATCAGTACATGCTTAGTGAGTGGAAGAATGAGTGATCACGCCTGCCCCTGTCGGTCTGGTTTCCTTGCTGGGGCCCAAGTGACCTTTTGGAGAAGCAAATATCATGTCACTGGGGCTTATCCTCCACAGCGGCCCCTCTCCAACTCTATCTGTGAGCCGACAGGCCCTCTGTTGAAGCGTCTGTAGTGAGAGTCCCCATGCTGAAGGGTGGGGAGGCAGGGTGCGCTACTCCCAACACCCAGGGACTCCTTTCCTGGCCTCTTTAGTTCAAACCAAAAGCTTTGCCTGGAGCTCCCTGCGCACCATGCAGGGGTAAAGATCAATGTGAGCCTTGGCCCTGCCCTTACCCGCTGTTGTGCCAGATGGTCCAGGTGTGGGAGTGTGTAGTGCAGGGAGGAGTGGGCCCAGAGCCACAGTGGGGGGTCAGGAGACCTGAACTGCACCAGGCAGGCTTTCTTGCATCACCCTAATATGAGCACCAGAGACTGACTCTCCAAAGCTAATACAGGTTGAGCATCCCTAATCTGAAAATTCAAAATCTGAAATACCCCAAAATCTGAAACTTTGCTGGCGTGACACCACAAGTGGAAAATTTCACACCTCACATCATGAAGGGTCTCAGTCAAGCGCAGGTGCAGGACAGTGACGATGGTGTTGTTAATACTACAAAAATAAATGCAGCCTGAATGGTTCATTGAAAGCCTGTCCTTGTTTATTGTTGTTGTTTGACAGTGACACAGGTGTTCTGGTGATGCCACTGTGCTGCTTAGTTACCCTGAACACATTGCTTGTTTTTTACTGTGTTAATGATGTATCATATTTTTTACTGTTAAGTACTTATGTGTGAATAAGTGTAAGAAAATGATTGCTTATTGGTAGCATATAAGTTCAGACAGGATTGCTGGTGATGCCAAACAACCACAGATTGTTCATATGAGTGGCCGAGATAGTGACACCTTTGCTTACTGATGGTTCAGTGTACACAAACTTTGTTTCATGCACAAAATTATTAGAACTATTTTACAAAATTATCTTCAGGCTATGTCTAGAAGGTGTATATGAAATATAAATGAATTTTGTGTTTAGACTTAGGTCCCTTCCCCAAGATATCTCATATATGGATATGTAAGTATTCAATAATCTGAAAAAAATCTGGAATTTGAAACAGTTCCGGTCCCAAGCATTTCAAATAAGAGATAACTAACCTGAAATTTGTTCGAGAATAGTAGGGGATTGCAGTCAGGGGTGCATGTGCTATGATGGATCATAGGCACATCCAAAGAGGTTGGGTCGAGGGGAAACTTTCAAAGACAAAGAGGAGAACTCCATGGAAGCTGTTTCCAAACAAAGACCAATGGCTTTAGGGGCTTATTGCAGAAGCTGGTGTTAGTTCGTGGTGGAGGTAGCCATGTCAGGCAAGTGTCCTGGTGCAAGAGGCTTATCTGGAATACTGTGGTTCTAATGAATTCCTTGCATAGTTCCTGCCTCCTTCACAGCCTCCGGGCCCCACTTGGTTGAGGTTTGAGGTGACTCCATTTTGAAACACTTCAAATAAAGATTTCTCTATTTGGTGGCTGCCTTTTCCCATATAGCTGCTTATAATGAGAATGAACTGCCCACCTCTTGTCTTTTGGAATTCACCTAACAGTTTCTAAAAAGAACCCTGGGCATATGTTGTAGTTTCCTTCAATTTCCCACTATAACAAATGAGAAAAGATCATGTTTTTAGAAATAACATGGCCAGCTCATTTCTGAAAAGAGTTAAATTAGGAGAGACAGTACAGTGAATGATAATGAGATGGAGTTGCATATGGCTCTAAAAGTTATGGCTTTTAGGTGGCAAACTAGCTGAGATGGCCATCGGTTTGGATTGGGGCTCTATTATCCCATTTCTCCTCTTTCAACCCTGTGTCTTCTGCTTCTGGTGTTTCTTTTCTCCCCACACCTTAATATTTACATAACAACTTTTCAAAGATAGCTGTCCTTAAGTAGAATTAAGTTGCTGCCTAGGGCAAGGGCAGTCAAGAATCAGATATATTAAAAAGACTCTCCTTAATTGCATTTCCTTTTATAGATAGCTTCATGTTGCAGCCTCTGAAAACTCCTGGCTGAGATGGGCTGATTTAATTATGTAGAAGGGATTTAGCCTAGAGTTAAGTTTTCTCTCTCAGCTGTTTACCATGTTAAACTTTCACTGTCTTTGAACTTTCTCAAGGGCACATGTCAACTGTAAGAGTTGGACTGGGTTAGGAGAGTGGAGAGAACACTTTGCTCTGGGTGCTGAGATCCAGATCTGCTTCTCACCAGATTCCAGACACAAGGGAAGTCGCATTGCCCCTGGGACTCCAGTCCCTGTGAAAAGAGACACAGTCCTGCCCCAGCCCTGTGGATGCTGGTGCCACTCAGGAAATGGTATTTGTCTCTTCCCTACACAGATCCAGCCTCTCCAGTGTGCATCATCCACTCAGTACATTGTCATCTACTTGCTTCTTGACAGCATCTGTAGATGGAAGGGTGGGATAGAGTTTGAGTAATTTTTTAAAAGAGAAGCAAAGTAACCTGGGAGTGAAGCAAAATAGACATTTTAAGCACCTATTACAGATTTGAAGTTGCCTCCTTTTTTTTTCTTCTTCAAGGAACATAAAATATACAGATAATTGAGATTGCTTATGCTTGGCATATTAACATAAAAACAGGGCCTTAAATTTGGATACCAGAATTTTCTTTTTTTAAATTTTTACTTTTTAAATTGTAACTTAACAAATTATAGTTGTATCCATTTATGTGGTACATAGTGATGTTATGATCCATGAATATAATGTGGAATAATTAAATCAAGCTAATTAACATATCCATCAGTTCAAATATTTATCATTTTTTTGTGGTGAGAACATTTGAAATTTACTCTCTTAGCAATTTTGAAATGTACACTACATTATTATTTATTATATTAGCCATGCTGTACAATATATCTCGAAGAAAAAAAACTTACTCTTCCTTCCTGTCTAATTGAGGCCTTAATTATCATCTCCCCAAGTCCCCCTTCCAGCCTCTGATAATTACTAATACCACTCTAATCTCTGCTTCTTTGAGTTCCATTGTTTCAGAGTCCACATATAAGAGAGAACATGCAGTATTTGTACTTCTATGCCTGGCTTATTTCATTTAGCAAAATGTTCTCCAGTTCTATTCATGTTGTTGCAAATAACAGAATTTATTTTTTAAGGCTGAATAGTGTTCTATTGTGTATATATACCACACTTTTTTTTGAATCTGTTGATCTGTTGATGATAATCAACACTTAGGTTGATTCCATAATTTTACTGTTGTGAACGGTGCTGCAATGAACAAGGGCGTGCATACATCTCTTCGCTATACGGATTTCAGATCTTTTGGGTTCTTTTAAATCACATAATAAATGAAGCTGCAAAGTGTTAACTTTGGAATCTGGTACCTTTGTGTTTCAAGCAGAGTCCAGGAGAGGCAGGATGGGCGGAGTAGGGACCTGGCCTCAAGGATGTTGGTACGAGCTGCAGGCTATCGGCATAGGAAGGGGACAGTGTCCCACGGTGGGCAGTGAGGGATGAGAGGACCAGCGTAGATGTAGACCTGGAGCTGAGGAGCAGGGAGAGCTTGGGGTGTTTTAACATCTCTGGAGGGTGTTTGACCTCAGCCCCAAGGCTCTTTGTGGGGCCTTAACTGGCTTCCTTCTTAGTGTCAAATATTCTCCTTGTGTCTCTGCCAGCTGCCTCTTCTTCAGGAGTTGCCCCTAGGGGTATCAATATTAGTATTTTTACTACCAAGTTTGCTCCCAGTTCACCCAAATGTTTGTACCAAACTTTGTGTTTTTTGCTAGGGATGCCCAGTTTAATATGACACATACTTTCCTCTTGAGGATTTCATGCAGTTCCAGCAGTAGAAAACGGATTCCTTTAGAAAAAGGGGCTAGGTGCTATGACAGAAGTAAGCTCTGGATCCTGAGGGCTTCCGAGTGGGAGCATCTAGCTCAGCCCTGGGAATTCTGGGAGGACTTCCTGAAGGAGGAGGCGCCTGAGCTGGGTCTTGCAGGGTGAGCACAGGTACCCTGCAGAAGGGATAGCTGCTGCAGACACAGGTGTGACACACCCTGTGTGACTAGGTAGATGTTGAGCCAGGTAGATGGCACAGGATGCTGGAGGTCTGCGAGGAGTGGCCTTTTGAGTAGTGAGA